AAAATTGAAGTTCAAGGATTTTTTTAGTACTTTTTGAAGTTCGAGGGTAGTTTTAGTTCAAAAATGAAAGTTGAGGGACTGAATCGGGGATATAACCTTTTCTTTTTTTTGTTCTGTTTGGTGCAGATCCGGTGGCTTTCTTTCTCCTCCGGCGGATCTAAGGCGGCGCGCGCAAGGGCTTCCAGATCTGACGCCCACCGCGGCTCTCCTGTTGGTTCCGAGGGTCTTCCGCCGCCAAATCGGGTGACCGCACGGCATCTTGGAGCCTAGTGCTATTTCTTCAAGGGTAGATTGAAGGGTGTCCCATATAGATCGGTCGACCGAAGGCCGTGGTATTTCCGGGGAGTTCGTAGTTGTTCGAGTGCTGAGTGCACCCCCTTCAGGCCTCTGGATATGGGTCTACTCTGTTCTTTTGTTCCAGTTGTTTTTACTTTTTGTTATCTTTGTAGATGCCGTATGACGGTCTTTATAATGAATCCATTCCATTATTATAATGAATCCATTCCATTATCCTAAAAAAAAATTTATAAAAAAAAATTCTATTATGGTAAGCACATTCAAATTCAATTTCTGAGTCCAATACTCTTTAATTTTTTTTAATAATCTATTAATATCTTATAATCACATTAAATTTTAATTAATCTAAAATTAAATTACATTAAACTCATAAAAAAAATTTCTCAATATTTATTTATTTATTTATAAAACTACACTTTTAAGTCTTAATTCTAGTTAAAGTGAAATAAAAAAGCTTTTTATATAAATGTTGTTAATCACGAAAAGTTTTTTAAAAAATAATGTTATAAATGATAATAAAAAATTTAATTACTTTTATAACCTTAATGAATAACACTAAAAAAAATCATTAATGGTATTTTAAGTTTTCAATTGTAAAAATATTCATTTTTCTCCCTCTACATTGAAAAAAAATAAAAATAAAAATACTCTGTCCATATAAAATCCCGTTCTCCTAATATAATGGACCTAACAAATGAGAAGAATTGGGAAGTAGTAGGGGGCCATTATTGGACTCGACCTCTCCATATGGTTTGTTAAGGTTCTTTACTTAAATTTTGTGTTATTACTCCTTTATTTTCTCTTTGTTATAGAGTTTTAATATTTTTTTTATTTTGGTTAACGAAATAATTCAGTAATCATCTTCTTCCATTAAAAATAAAAAATTCTAAATTCGAGTCGCATGACATGCAGATAGAATAAAATAAGCAATAAGAGATGATTGCATCCCATTATGCAATCAAAAAAAAAAATCTTTTTATTTTGCTTCTGTTTATGCAAGTATGACACAAAAAAAAAATCTTCTATTCCACTTTTCAAACTAAGTATCTGCCGGTATCAAGGGAATCTCTTGAACATTTTTTTAAATACAATAGGATTATAAATAATAGCTTTAGTACATCTGGCAAAGTAATTACTTTCCTTAATGGAAGGGTTTAAGATACTTTAAAATTTTGATGTGATTAGTGGACATAGTGAAGGGCGATGATTGGTGTCTTGGAGGATTTGACTACCAAATTGTGGTGGCGTATCCTTTTGACTTTTATGGATCCAAGCACACCAAATTCCATCTGTCTTTCTCAGTGATTCAATAATTCATATATAGATCCAACTTCATGAACCATGCCATTGAAAGGGTTTATTGGAAGGGCATTTTTGCCACTATATTCGAGTTTAAGGGGTTGTTTGTAACTCTTTTTGGTTGAGGGGCTGATTTGCATGATTTGTAACCTTGCAATTTGATTAAATATTAACTCAATAATTTTTCTTGGAGGTTTAGAGGCCAAACTATGGGCTTTCCACAAGGAAACAGGAGTGCCTTCTATCTTTTGTCCTCTTTAAGGGTCGAACATCTCGAGGCCCAAAAAAGGGTAAAAAGTCTGCCCCATGGGTTTTTCGTTTGGTTTTTTTGTCTTCCAACAATCAGCCCAAAGGAGATATAAGATCTTGAGTTCCTGCAGCAAAGTGAGTGGAAAGAGATTTAGAAATGAAAAAGAACCAACAGAAAAAAAAAAATTTTTTTTTTCTTCTTACAAAATTTACCTTTACAGTGTAAAGAATTTTTTAATATTAATCAACCCATCAATTTCTTTTCATCAAAATTTCATTCACCATAAATTTAAAAAAAAAAAATTCATCAAGTCAAAACTTCATGAGTTAAATTTCTGAATTTATTTAACATATATTTTAAAAGTACAACTTAAAATTTATTAATTAAGTTATTTTTAATTAATTTATATCAAATTTTAAATTAAATTCATAATTTTTTTTTATAAATTTGTACATTTTATATTATATTTTATTTAAATCTTATATAAAAATTTATGTAAAATTAATTATAAATACTAAAATTAATGAAATTTAATCTATATTTTAAAATATAGGTTAAAAAATCCCTAAATTTATTTGTAATAAGTATGTTTCGTTAGATTAAGAATAAAATTTAACTTTATTAAATGCACTGTCTTTATTAAAATAGTCAAAGAAGAGATTAATTTGAAAACACCCTAACAATACAAACTCAATATATATAACACGTGATCTCAAATCTGCCTTGAGCAATTCATAAATCCAATGAGACTAAGACACAAGACTATTCAAAGTTTCAAACAAAATATCCTATACGAACAAGTAAATTAAAAGAAGCACCAAGAAAAGACGATTTAAAAAAACATAAAGATATTTCTTAATACGGCCTATATTATTTTAAAAAATAATTTAGAAATAATTTTTTATATTATTTTAAAAAATAATTTAGAAATAATTTTTTATATTATTTTTTAATAAAATTTTATATATCATTTAAATAATTAATTTTTTATTTATTTGAGACATATAATATTAAGTGTATTTATTTATTTCATAACACATGAAAATTACATAAAAATATTATACTAAAAAATTATTCATATATCATTGTCCTATTACTTTTATACAATTTAAATATTAAAATTATATAAACACTATTAATGAATAGGCTTAAAAGATAATTTTATTAAAGGTATTTAAATAATTATAATATTTGAATTATAT